CCTCCACCCATTTTTAAATCAGGTTATTTGCTTTCTGTGTGTTGAGGCATGTGAGTTCTTTACGTATTTCAGATGTTAAACCCTTGTCAGGTATGTCGTTTACAAATATATTCTCGCATACTGTAGGATGCCTTTAGTTCTGTTGATGGTATCCTTTCTTTACAGAACCTTTTTAGTTTGATGTAGTCCTACGTGTTCATTTTTGCTCTTGTTTTCCTTGTTTGAGAAGATGCATTGAGGAAAAAGTTCCTCATGTTTATATTCAGGAGATTTTTGCCTATGTTTTCTTCTAAAAGTTTCATGGTTTCATGACTTACATTCAGGTCTTTGATCCATTTTGGGTTTACTTTTGTGTATGGGGTTAGACAATAATCCAGTTTCATTCTCTTGCATGTAGCTGTCCAGTTTTGCCAATACCAGTTGTTGAAGAGGCTGTCATTTCCCCATTGTATGTCCAAGGCTACTTTATCGTATATTAATTGACCATATATGGTTGGGTTTATATCTGGGCTCTCTAGTCTGTTCCATTGGTCTATTGTTCTGTTCTTGTGCCAGTACCAAATTATCCTGATTACTATGACTTTGTAGAAGAGCTTGAAGGCAGGGAGCTTAATTCCCCCAGCTTTATTCTTCCTTCTCAGAAATGCTTTGGCTATTCTGAGTCTTTTGTGGTTCCATATCAATTTTAGAATGATTTTCTCTAGTCATTGAAGAATGCTGTTGGTATTTTTGTAGGTATTGCATTGAATCTATAAATTGCTTTAGGCAGGATGGCCTTTTTGACAATATTAATTCTTCCTATCCGTGAGCACGGGATGTGTTTCCATTTATTGGTATCTTCTTTAATTTCTCTCATGAGTGTCTGTAGTTTTCAGAGTATAGGTCTTTCACTTCTTTCATTAGGTTTATTCCTATGTATTTTATTCTTTTGAGGCAATTATGAATGGAATTGTTTTCCTGATTTCTCCTTCTGCTAGTTCATCATTAGTGCAACAGATATCTGTGTATTAATTTTGTATCCTGCAACTTTGCTGAATTCAGATATTAGATCTAGTAGTTTTGGAGTGAATTCTTTAGGGATTTTTATGTACAATATCATGTCATCTACAAACAGTGACATTTGACTTCTTCTTTACCAATCTGGCTGCCTTTGCTTTTCTGTTCCTGGTCTTAAAGGAAAGGCTTTCAGCTTCTTGCTGTTAAGTATGATGTTGTCTCTGGGTTTGTCATATATGGCCTTTACTATGTTGAGGTAGTTGCCCTCTATACCCATTTTGTTTAGAGTTTTTATCATGAATGGATGTTTTGTCAAATGCTTTTATAGCATCTATGGGGATAATCATGTGATTTTTATCCTTCTTTTTGTTCATGTGGTGGATGATATTGATGGATTTTCTAATTTTGAACCATCCTTGCATCCCTGGAATAAATCCTACTTGATCATGATCTTTTTGATGTATTTTTAAATTCAGTTTGCTAATATTTTGTTGAATCTTTTTGCATCTATGTTCATCAGGGGTATTGGTCTGTAATTTTTTTTTTTTTGTGGTGTCTTTGCCAGGTTTTGGTATTAGGGTGATGCTGGCTTCAGAGAATGAGTTTAGAAGTATTCCCTCTTCTACTTCTTGGAAAACGTTAAGGAGAATGGATATTTGATATTCACTAAATATCTGGTCCAGGGGTTTTGTTCTTAGGTAGTGTTTGGATTACCAGTTCAATTTCGTTGCTAGTAATTGGTCTGTTTAGATTTTCTGTTTCTTCCTGGGTCAGCCTTGGAAGGTTGTATTTTTCTAGAAACTCGTCCATTTTTTCAAGGTTATTCTGTTTGTTACCATATAATTTTTCAAAATATTCTCTAATATTTCTTTGTATTTCTGTGGTGTCTGTAGTGATTTTTCTTCCTCATTTTTGATTCTGTTTATGTGTGTAGACTTTCTTTTTTTCTTGATACTTCTGGCTAAGGGTTTATCTATTTTGTTTATTTTCTCGAAGAACCATCTCCTGCTTTCATTTATTCTTACCATTGTTTTATTGTTTTCAATTTTATTTATTTATGTTGTAATATTTCTTTTGTCCCTCCTACTGACTTTCAGCCTCATTTGTTCGTCTTTTTCTAATTTTGTTAATTGTGAGTTTAGACTGTTCATATGGGATTGTTCTTCTTTCTGGAGGTAGGCCTGTATTCCAATATACTTCCCTCTTAGCAAGGCCTTTGCTGCATCCCCCGTATTTTGTGGTGTTGAATTATTGTTGTCATTTGTCTCCATATATTGCTTGATCTCTGTTTTTATTTGGTCATTGTTCCATTGGTTAATTAGGAGCTTGTTGTTAAGCCTCCATTTGTTTGTGGTCTTTTTCATTTTCTTTGCGTAATTTCTTTCTGATTTCATACCTTTCTGGTCTGAGTAGCTTGTTGGTACAATTTCAGTCTTTTTGAATTTACTGAGGCTCTTTTTGTGGCCTAGCATATGATCTGTTCTTGAAAATGTTCCATGTGCACTTGAGAAGAATGTGTATTCTGCTGCTTTTGGGTGGAGTGTTCTGTAGATATCTGTTCCATCTGTTCTAATGTGTTGTTCAGTGCCTCTTTCTCCTTATATTTTGTCTGCTTGTTCTGTCCTTTGGAGTGAGTGGTGTGTTGAAGTTTCCTAGAATGAATGCATTGCATTCTATTTCCCCTTTTAATTCTGTTAGTATTTGTTTCACATATGTAGGTGCTCATGTGTTCAGTGAATAGATATTTATAATAGTTATATCCTCTCATTGGATTGACCCCTTTATCATGATGTGAAGTCCTTCTTTGTCTCTTATGACTTTCTTTGTTTGAAAATCTATTTTGTCTGGTACAAGTCCTGCAACACCTGTGTTTTTCTCCCTATTAGTTGCATGAAATACCTTTTTCTATCCCTTCACTTTTAGTCTGTGTATGTCTTTGGGTTTGAAGTGAGTCTCTTGCGGGCAGCATATAGTTGGGTCTTGTTTTTTTATCCATTCACTGACTCTATATCTTTTGATTGATGCATTCACACCATTTACATTTAGGGTGATTATCAATAAGTATGTACTTATTGCCATTTCAGGCTTTGGATTCGTGGTTATGAAAGGTTCAAGGGTAACTTCCTTACTCTCTTAAGAGTCTAAATTAACTCACTTAGTATGCTATTACAAACACAATCTAAAGGTTCTTTTTTTTCCGCCTCTTTTTTCTTCCTTTTGCATTCTATATATATTAAGTATCATATTCTGTATTCTTTGTCTATCCCTTGACTGACCTTGAGGGTAGCTGATATAGTTTTGCATTTGCTTTGTGATTAAGCGTTCTACCTTATTTACTGTGGTTTTATTACCTCTGGTGACAGCTATTAAACCTTAAGAACACTTCCATCTATAGCAGTCCCTCTAGAATACGCTGTAGAGATGGTTTGTGTGAGGTAAATTCTCTCAGCTATTGCTTACCTGGAAATAATTTAATCCCTCCCTCAAATTTAAATGATAATCTTGTCTGATAAGAGTATTATTGGTTTGAGGCCCTTCTGCTTCATTGCATTAAATATATCATGCCACTCTCTTCTGGCCTGTAATGTTTCTGCTGAGAAATCTGATGATAACCTGATGGGTTTTCCTTTGTATGTGATCTTTTTTCTCTCTCTGGCTGTTTTTAATAGTCTGTCCTTATCTTTGATCTTTGCCATTTTAATTTTTATACATCTTGGTGTAGTCTTCCTTGGGTCTCTTGTGTTGGAATCTCAGTCTCTCCAGGTATTCCGCCTGACTTAGCTTTCCAACCCCACTGAGCACCATGCAATGTCAGTTCCTGCTCCCAGAGCAGATATCCAGGGCTAGGTGTTCATCAGTTCCAGGTCTCCACTCCCTCCCCACTCCATTTCTCTTCCTCCCACTGGTTGGCTGGGGTGGGAAAAGGGCCTCGTCATGCCAGGTCACGGCTTTGGTATGTTACCCTGTTCCATGAGGTCTGTTCTTTCCTCCAGGTATATGCAGTCTGGCGCAGCCTTCTTTCCTGTTGCTCTTTCAGGATTAGTTGTATTAATTATACTTTCATATTATATGTGCTTTTAGGGGGAGGTCTCTGTCTCACCTCTCACACTACCATCTTTTAGTCCAGTCTTTGTGTGTTTGTTTTTAAAAAAATATTTCTTTATTTCCAAAGATTTGAGTATAATGGGCATTTCAGATTAGGTTAAAAATTTGAGTCCATTTATGTCAAAACCACATCTTATTCATTTACTGCACTCAGTAGTACTAAACAAAAATGTAGTATAAAAAGGCAAAATAGAAGCCAAACAATGAACACCACATGTGCAGGCCAGTAGGTTGAGAGAATTGCTGGTGTATATGATGCTGTATAAATATAAAAGTATCTTATTAATATAGTGATATTGGTTAATAATAGTTATTATGTGCCAGATACAGTACTATTCTAAATGCTTTAACAGTATTACTTCTTTTAATCCTAAAAAATATGTAATAAGGTGGATGTTATGATTATTCACATTTTGTAAATGAGGAAATTGAGGGATCAAGAAAGTTAAGTAAATTTCCCAAAGTTATATAATTAGTTAGGGATGGAGCTGGAATTTAATGTGTACATTCAGATTCCAGAGTCATTGCAGTCTGGACGTTCTGTTCACCAAGCTATCCTGTGTACTTGGTGCTTTTTAAATTCTATTGAAGTATATCCACAAAAGAAATGTTGACAAAATGACAGTGAGAATCAGCTTTGAGGAAGAATCCATGTAGAATAATGCTTTAGTGTTTCTCATTTTCTAAGAAAAGATTATGAGTAATAAATAGAGAACAGAAATATTAGTATAGTGGCATTTGCCATAAGCATTTTTCTTATGTTTTTAAAAAAATTATAGAAAATATATGCTCATTGTAGGAAATATTGAAGTGATAGAGTTGTTTCAAGAAGCAATAGAAAAAACATTCCTCAAACCCTAAACACTTTGTTATAACTGTGTATCTCACATAAAGTTTAGACATTTTTTTTTTGCAAATATGAAACACATGTTTCTGATAATCACTATATAATCATGTTTATATTTCTTATAAACATTACTTTTGACATTTCTCTAGGCCTGTCTACTAGTCATTTTGCTTGGGCATTTCACTCAGTAGCAGAAGAAGAATTGCTGAACATGTTGCCAGCAATGCAGAAAGATGATCCGACTTGGTCTGAACTAAGAGCTATGGGTGTGGGGTGGTGGGTCCGGAATACCCGCATCTTACGCAAATGCATAGAAAAGGTAAGCGTTTTATTTTGGTATAAAAGTTAATTAGTATCTTGTGGTATAGATGTTTCTTTAAATGACATTCCATATTTCCTCTCCTGTTACTCTTTTTTTTTAAATTTAAGCAGTAAAATACTTGTAATTGTTAGTATATTTAAAAATAACATGTTAATACAATTTTTAAAAATCTGTATTCTAATTCTTAAATTGCCAGTTGACCCATTTGTTTAGTAGTATATATGTGATTTTACATATACACACACACATTTAGAAAAATAAAATAGTACATAAAAGCTCGTAATGAAAAGTATAGTCCTGTGTTTCCATTTCACTGTATTCTTGGAGACCATCACCACAAATTACTTTTGAAATTATTACATAAATAGTGTGTTTGTGTGTGTGCGTTTACATGTACTCATTCATACACAGATTTTTTAAATGTATTGAACATTTAAATAGGTAATGTGTGGCAGTCTTGCATATGAGGGAAATTATTTGTTCACTTAAAAACAGTTTCTTTGAAATTTGACCAATATTTTCTAATTATAGGTAGCCAAAGCAGCCTTTTATAGAAAGAATGATCCTTTAGATGCTGCCATTTTTTACCTTGCAATGAAAAAGAAAGCTGTGATTTGGGGATTATATAGGTAGGTGAGAAAACTGTACTTTAAAATGAAAAACTTTTTATGAGGAATATGAAGTATAGATTCATTGTTCTTGTTAGTGTAATTCATATCGATTCTTAGTTACTTTTGTATTTAAGGATAGATTTCATAGGGAAAATAGAGGTATTTTGCAGAGTCAAGGTATTTTCCAGAGTCAAGGAATCTTGACAGGGTTGCTTTAGTTTGTTTTCACATTTATCAGTCCAGAAAACCTTTTTTTCGCGTGTTTTGAGAAGTTCTTATGATGCTTCAGTAGAACAAAGATCTAAATCAGGAACTCAAAATTTCCTTGTGGGAAAAAAGATGAATTGGAGTTTACAACAGGCAACTATCCTTGCCCTATTAAGAGCTCATGGACCACACTAACCCTCCAAACTGCCCATCTCCTGAAGCCTTATATCCCATTCTTGAGATAGGGTCACTTAGAATTTTTTTTTCACTTCTCCTCAGCAAGATTTGGTGAATATAATTACCATAAATAGTTCAGCATTGAAAAAAAGACTGCGGGAGGAAGATAGTAGGAGAATCCAGAGTTGACCTCCTCATATGGATACACTGAGCTAACAACTACATCTAATACAACGTACTCTGAAAATGACTGAAAGACTAGCAGAACAGATCTTTCATAGTTAAAGAGTAAAGGGATGGCCACATGAAGAATGATAGGTGGGGCAGAGGCATGGTCAAGATCCAAACTCTGCCACAGCATGTCAACCTACAAATGGACAGAGTACTGTAAATACAAAATACAAAAATGGATGGAATACCACAAATACAAAAGGCATGGAAGAGCCAGGGTATCAAGCCCCACACCAGGTGCCCTCAGTCCTGGGGACTTGCATCAGGAAGATGAGGTTCCATAATATTTGACTTTGAAAATGAGCAGTGCTTAACTCTGAGAGCTTTGAAAATCAGTGGGGTTTAGCTCTAGGAAAGCTGGAGGAGTGTAGGAAGCTGAGCCTCTGCTCTTAAAGAGTTAGTGTGCTATATCAAATGGTTTGAGACCCAGCACAGAAGCAGCAGTTTGAAAAGTGCCTGGATATATGTGAAGATTTGTGGACTGATTTTAGGGTGTGTGCTGGAGAGGCATGTATCTACAGGAGCTTTCTTTGAGAGCAGAAGTGCTTAGTAGGAGCTATTTTCAGTCTACCTGGCGTGATACTTGTGGGAACCAGTTCTGAAACTCTGAATCTACCAAGTTAGCTACACTCACCTTGCCACAGCATTCTTCTGAAAACCCACTTCACCCAACCTGCCCACCCTGCCCGTCCTGGGACATGGCCCATGAAAGCAGCTCCCACCCCACCACACCCAGGAGGTAGCCTCAGCCTACACTGAGTCTCCCTTCACAATAACTTGTGTCCTGAAGAGGGGTAAAGCTAGACCCACCCACCAGTACACTGGTAGTAGGTATAGCTGAGCCCCTTAGCCAGCTGTGCAGGGGGCAAATACTGTCCATTAGTGCACCCACAGCCGTCAGAGCCCAGCCACAAGGATATTGAATGTAGTCCTTATAGGGAACACCTGTGGAGCTGATAGCCAAGAGGACTGCAATGCTGGGCACCACAGGATGCCTATTATAAAAGGCCACCATTTTCAAGACAAGGAAATGTAGCTGACCTATTTAATACATAGAAACAAACACAAAGAGACAAAATGAGGAAACAGTGGAATATATTCCAAGTGAAAGAAGAAGACAAAACATCAAAAAATGCTTAAAGAAATAGATGTGTAAGCATCTATGTGATAAGAGTTCAAAGTATTAGTCATAAAGATAACATGGTGACTGGAGAGAAGAGTGGGTGAACTTAGAACTTAAAAAAAAAGGGAAGGAAAAGAACCAATGGAAGCTGAAGAATACAATAACTGAAATGAAAAATATAGTAACGAGAATCAGCAGCAGGTTAGAGAATGCAGAAGAACAGATCAGTGATCTGGAAGATGGTAGTGGAAAGCAACAAAGCTGAACAAAAAGAAAAAGTTTTAAAAAATGGGATAGGTTAAGGGATCTCTACAGCCACTTCAAGCATAACATTTACATTGTAGGAGTCCCAGGAGGAAGAGAGAGAGAGAAAGGGGCAGAAAACTTATTTAAAGAAATAATAGCTAATAACTTCTGTAACCCAGGGAAGAAAACAGACATCCAGTTCCAGGAAGCACAGAGAGACCCAAACAAAATGAACCCAAGAAGGTCCACACCAAGACATAATTAAAATGGCAGAAATTAAAGATAAAGAATCTTAAAAACAGCAACAGAAAAGCAAACAGCTATGTGTAAGGGAAAGCCCATAAAGCTGTCTGCTGATTTTTTAGCAGAAACTTTGCAGGCAAGAAGGAGGTGACATGAAATACTCAAAATGCTGAAAGGAAAAAAACCTACTATCAAAAATATGTGGCAAAGTTATAGTTCAGAACTGAAGGAGAGAGGTTAAATAAGTTTATCACCACTTATTTAAATAAGTTCATCACTGCTAATCCAGCCTTAGAAGGAATGTTGTACTTCTTTAAGTGAAAAAGGCCATAACTAGAAGTAAGAAAATTAGGAAAGGAAAAACTCCATGCAAATATAAGCAAAAAAAGCTGGTTAGCAATACTTATATCAGATAAAATAGATTTCAAAGCAAAGATTGTAATGAGACAGAGGGATTACATAATGATAAAGGAATCAATCCAACAAGAGGATATAGCAATTGTAAATATCTATGTACCTACCATAGGAGCACCTAAATATATAAAGCAAAAATTAACAGAAAGGTAGAAATTGACAGCAATATAATAATAGTATGAGGATTGTTATCAGCCTACTTACATTAATAGATAGATCATTTCAGATAAAAAATCAATAAGGAAACAGTGGCTTTATGTGACACATTAGATCACATGGACTAACAAGACATATGCAGAACATTCCATCTAAAAATAGGATACACATTTCTTCTCAAGAGTAGGTCTTCTCCACAATAGGTCACATTAGGCCACACAAAAGTCTTAATAAATTAAAGAAGACTGAAATAATATCAAGTATCTTTTCCAACCTTAATGCTGTGAAACTGGGAATAAATTATAAGGAAAAAAAAGTTTTAAAACCCCCACCCCCCAAAACATGGGATTAAAGAAGATGCTACTTAACAACCAGTGGGTCAATGAGGAAATCAGAAAACATCTGGAGACAAATGAAAATGGAAGCACAGTAGTTCAAAACCTTTGGGATGTAGAGGACCTCTCCTGTTTAAGAGGGAAATTTATAGCAATACTAGAGATTTTGAAATAAACCATCTAATCTTATACCTAAAGAACTAGAGAAAAAAGAGCAAATAAAGCCCAAAGCTAGTAGAAGGACGGAAATTATTTAATGAAGATTAGAACAGATAGAGAGACTAAAAAAAATAACAAAAGATCAATGAAACTAAGAGCTGCTGCTTTGAAAAGATGAACAAAATTGATAAACCTTTATTCAGACTCATGAAGCAAAAAACAGAGGGCTCAAATAAATAAGATGAGAAATGAAAGAGGACAATAATATTCAATACAAATTAAAAGATTACTATGAAAATTTATATGCTAACAACTTGGATAACCTGGAAGAAATGGAAAATTCCTGGAAACATACAATCTTCCAAGA